GTAAATAATTTAATTCAATGATTTAGTTCATTTATTTATTTTTTAAAAAATTAGACTAATTAACATCACCATCATATTGAATTATAGTTTAGCAGAATATAAAAAAATATCAATAACTACGTGGAGCTTAATTCATAACTATAACGGTAGAATAGAATTCTCGATTGTAAGATTACTATAATATATCTATCCATAATTTTAATGGTAATTCATCATTATCTACTGATATTTATAATAAACTTGTACATTTTGAAATTTTTTTCCAAAAATTTTTGGTTCTGGATAATTTTCCCATGGGAGTAATTAATCAATCTAGAATGATTTCTTTGATATTTAAATTAACTATTTATATAACGCGTTTATGTTTAGGTATTTCTTTTACTTTTTAATAATATAAAATACAGAGGATTTAGCACGAAATTTAATAGAAAAATATCAGTTTAATGTTATTAGGGATCCGTTCACTTATAACCAACAATTAATGATCGAAATCACCTAAAATATACTCAATTGAACACAAGATAAAATTAATGTTATTTTCTGCCTTATTGCTCGATACATTCAAAACATTTGTATTGTAAATTCTTTTGTTTATTGTTAGTTTACCACATAAGATTTTATTGCCTACAAGCCCTTTTACAAATTTTCATTAATGTCTTATTCTTTAAAGTAGTTTTTTTTTTAAAAAAAAATTTTTATTTTTATTTTTTTTATATTTTTTATTCGTTTTTGTATTTTTTTTTATTTTTTTATGTAATTTATTTATTTTTTTTTATTTAGTTTTTATATATATATTTTTTTCTATATTTTTATCATCATTTATTTTTTTTTTGATTTTAATAATAACTATTGCGACTGCATCACAATAATGAGTTAAAGGGTGTCACATTTGAAAGGGCAGAATCAGTCCTAACTAAAATCTATAAAAAAGCCATTAGATGTTGATTAATAATCAAAAATTAATAATCAAAAAAGTAAGTAACATAATAAAAAAGTTACCCACCTTACTGCGTCGCCATGACAATCCAAAGTAACGAATCTCTCGATCTAACCTATAAAATATAAACTAAAAAAAAAATAAATAAAATTATTAATCAATAATTATGAACTGACATTATTAATTAAAAAATAAATAATTAATAGGAATAAATAATACATAATATTAAAAAATAAAAATAAAAACAATTTAATCATGCATCTGACTGCACCATCGCGATGGACTGACCGATCTGAATTTTTTCTTTTTTTAAAAAAAATATTTAAACAACCTTTATCCTTAAGGTAGATTCCTCCTCTACCTTTACCTCTACCTTATCCTCTATCTTTAGTGTTAGAGTTAGTGTTATTGTTAGTGTTAAAGTTAGATTTAGTGTTAGTGTTAGTGTTAGTGAAAGGTAATAATAATGTATATAATAATAAATGATCATTAGCGTTACATGAATTGCCTAAAAAGAAGAATTTTTTGAGGAAAAGGAAATTTTTTCATCGCTTAAATGCCTAGAAATTCGGTTCAAACTAATAAAATCGCACTAAATTTTTTTTTTACAATAAACATTGATCCTCCTTTATTATAGTATGTTAAATATATACAAATTAAAATAAATAATAAAACTAAAATTATATACAAATTAAAATAATAAAATTAAAAATAATTTACAAATTAAAATAAATAATAAAATAAAACTAAATACTTTTAAAATTATATACAAATAATTAAATAATATAATACTTTTAAAATTATATGCAAATGAATTGAAAAATATATACAAATGATTTAAATCATAAAATTTCTTTATATACAATGTTTTTTGTGTATACACCTGATTTATCTTTAACCTGACCATCTTTAACTAAGACTTTGATATTATTTTTTGATTGAATCCTTGATAATGCTACATATAATTGTCCATGAGAAAATACAGGATTAGGCAAGTATAATCTCATATGTAGTATTGTTTGATCTTGAGCCTTATTAATGGTTATTGCAAAGGCTAAACGAATTGGAAACTGGCGATGGATTAATTGAAATGGCAAATCTATATCTGATAGAGTTAATCTAATTCGAGAAATAAATTCTCTTTTTGCATGATGAGTGCCTGTTAAGATTTTTGCATCTATCACCAAATGGTTTTTCATTATCAATTACATTCCTAAAGGTTTTTTTAATAGCTTCAAAGGCAAACTTATGTGCTTTTTGTATTTCATTTCAGATAATAAATTTTGTCATTCAAATGCTTTTATTTTTATCAAAATCATATTAAACAAAAAGGTCTTTCTATAACCTTCAAGGCCAACAACAAAAAAATATTGTTTCATCTATTTTTTTATTAAAAACTAAATGATTGTGTTATAAATGTTTTTTTGATCAAAATTTAAATCATTTTCATTATTTATGAGAGAATTTAATTTATTAGAATTATAATTAAGTTCTTTCATTATTAAATCTGATTTTGTAAATCCTCTATTATTTTCAAGAAAAGAATAATTTGTAGGAAAATACCATAATCAGTCAAACTTCTTTTATAAGATAATAATATTTTTCAATATGTATTAGTGTTTTTGTGATAATAATTGCATAATTTTCATCAGATAAATCTTCAGTATTTTTGTTGTTGTTATTCATTTAAATAATCTTCAAATAAATTATTTAAGTGATCTTTAAAAGTTGAGAAGCATTTAACTCTCTTAGATCACTAAATATTAATATAGAGGCAAATAGTTATCTTAGTTTTGATGGCATTTATATGTTGTAGCCTTGTCAAAATATTTATCAAATTCATTACTTTCTTCATTTAATAACTAAGCTGTTTCATTGCTTACTCAAATGTATCATAAATATTTTCCATTTATGGTATGTGCAGCTTTATAAGATATAGCACTATAAATTTTAAATAATAAAATTCTTAAATAAAATCTTTCTTTGTCTCTCAGACTGCAAGTATACATTCATGAAATTATTTTATTACTACCTCTTTTTCTTTGTTATCAGTTTCCATTTTTTCAGATAAAGTGTTTGAAAAATCAATATAACACAAATTTTTTATATTTAAATTATCTTGATTATTTACATACATTTCAAAATAATGAGTTAATTTTATATATAAGGATTGTTCTAAAATATTAAAAAGATCTTCATTTTCTTAAAAGATAACATTTTGTTGATTAAATAAATAAACTGAAAGTCATTCAATTTTATGTAATCTTTCTTGTAAACTAAAATTAAATAATCTCCAAGATGCTTTAATAGCAGAAACATATCTTGCATTTAAATATTAAGTGATTTCATTATTTTTAATAGATTCCATTATACAATTAAATCCTTTGTAAACTTATTTATAAAGATATTTCACAGAACAAATGCTTGAATATATTTCTACTTTAATATGATAGTCATATTTTTGACAAATATAAGGATTATAAGGTATAATCCATCTATTATCTATATTCAATTTTCCTTTTTTGACTGTTTTTCTATTGTTTCTTCTTCTATATATTAGATATCCATTTTTATTTATTATTGTTTTTCAGTAATATTTCTGTGATAATTTTTGCTATATTTACTATTTATCATGCAAGGAGATTCAGGATTCAAATTTCTGCAAGATTTATGAATCATATTTCTAGCAATTATATTATATAATAATGGTTAAAGATCTTTATCTGAAATCTTTGCGCATATTATCTTATCAAAATCTTCAAGTGATTTTAGTTTATCTTCAACTGATAAGATCATTAAAATATGTGCATGTAGCAATCCTCTTTTTTGGAATTTAATTACATGTACATGGAGAATAACTACCTTTTACAAAAAGATCATAGGTGATTTCTTTTAATTTTAATTTAAATACCTTTGAAATAATATCAGGTCGATCACTTGCTTGTTAGTTTGACAAGAGTTTAGCTTTAATTTCTAGCTAATTGGAATTGCAAGTGACAGTGACAAATAAATCAGATTTTCATATTCTTTAACAATTACCATAGAATCTTGATACATTAATTGTATGTATCTTGTTGATCTAGTGAATGAAGATGGTAAGATTATTTTTTTTCTAATCTTATCTTTATAAAAATCTTCATCAGTAATAATTTCCTGCAAACCTAAATATAATTTACTTTTATAATATTGTTGCATTTTTCTATACTATCTTAAACGATTTGATTTATCTTTAACATATTGATCTACTAAATATTGCTAAAATTATTTTTCAGTAAGATGTAATATATTTTTTATTTTATTTGAATTTCTAATTTGCATTTAATATGCTGTAAATTTTCTAATTGTCACCATTTTCTTTTCTTTTCTTTTGGTAAATTTTCCAATTCTTCATCATCTACAGGTTTCATTTCCTTATCATCATTATCTACAGATTCAATTTTCTCATCATTATTATCTACTTCATTATTATAATTATTGTTAAGAATAATAGGATTAACTTTATAAACATCTTTATCAGGTGTATACACTCTTTCTTTACCTTAATTTTTAGTTGAAACAGATTCTAAATCAAGATTTTCAAAATTTTATATAATTTCTTCTTCAATGTGCATTTTATTTTTAATTTCAAATTCAGATTCAGGTATAGAATCAATTACATTTGCTCTCAAAATGTTATCATACCATCTAAAGATAACGCTGCAACTAGTTTCAACTATATGATGCTTATTTGTCATCAGTAGCAACTAGTTGCAACTTAATTTTTATTAATATTACAACTAGTTGCAACCCTATAATGCTTATTTGTCACCAGTTACAACTGATTGCAATATCATCTTTAATACCATCCATATTCACCATAAGAAAATAATAAAGAATATAGTAATGGATCATAAGCACCATTTAATTTAGAGATATATTTTAATTGTCTTTCATGAGTTTGAATAATAATATCTTGATATTCAGGTTGAATGTTATAGTCACAGATAAGAATTGCAACTTCTGATACTATTGATTTGTTATATTATATCATATCCTTGCTATATATATTATGAATGACTATTTTTCATTGTAAATTATTAGATTCACTTTTGGCTTTAACTCCTGAGGTTACAAATTGCTCAACAAATGGATTGTTTACTGATAATTCATCTTGTAATATTTTGAGCATTTCAGCATTCAAATTTGAAAATATTTCTTGTCTTCTTTGAAGTTGATTATTCATATTTAAATTATAAAAGTAAATTTGATCAAATGTTAGTTTTTGATTATCATTTCTTAGCATTAGACCACCAATCTGATAATATAATTCACCTTGAATTCTAAATATATAAATCCTTTTTTTGGCATTTGCAAGTTCTTCATTAAGGTTTACATCTAAAGATTAAATGCAAGAATCTAATTATAAGCTCTTATTTGAGTTACATAAGGTTCATCTGATATTGAATTATTTTGTGTAAGTAAATTATACAAAATTTGTGGAGCTGGAAGAAGAGGTGCTAATATAACCTATCTATTTAAACAATAGAATCATTTATTTTATTTTTCATTTTAAAGCATAACAGTATTCACAAATATTATTCATTCTTTCAAATATATGTCTACTGTTTTCTACTTTATCTTCTGTATAATTATCTATATTGCAATGTCCTATCTTTAAAAATTTGACTATTAATTTTTCTTTTTTGCAATATATTTATTATGATCATAAGTTTTTTTTGTTTTTTATTTACAATATATCTATTGTGATCGTAAATCTTTCTTTGTGTTTGTGATCTTATTTTACTTGATGATCCTACTTCTACACTTTCTTCTCTTGCTTATCGATCAAGAAATCTTTTTCTAACTTGTCTAATATTACATTGCCTTTGTTTTCTTTCTTTTACAGTTTCATTTTCACGTTCTGGATATTCAGCTTCAATTTCTTCTAATGTTGTAAATTTTGTCATCTTATTTGTAAATAAATTAATAAATTTAATAAAAAAATGTAAAAAAATTTTGTAAACAATTTTATTTATTTTTTTTAAAAATTTTTTAAAAAAAAGAATATCTTGTTCTATTTGATGGTCCAGCTTTTACACTTTCTTCTCTTACTTGTTGATCAAGAAATCTTTTTCTGGCTCCTTTTTATTTCTTTCTTCTTTAGTTTCATTTTCACGTTCTGGATATTTAGCTTCAATATCTTCTAATGTTATAAAATCTGATATCTTATTTGTAGATAAAATTTATAAATTTTAATAAATAAAAGTTTTATTTTTATTAATAAAAAAAAATGTAAAAAAATGTTGTTAAAAAATCAAATTTTAAAAATTACAATGATTTTATTTATTTTTTTTTTAAAAATTACTAAAAAAAAAGAATGCAAACATGATTTGTTATTGCATACATGCATGCTTGTATATAGGATTTGTTAGTAATATGATAAATGCTACATATAATTAAATACTGCAAACATGCATACATGAATGCATAATACAATATTTATTTTTGATTGTTTTAAAATTATTTTTTTTTTTTTAGGTATCTCGATTTTTATTTTTTAAAATTTTTCAATAATAAGAATAATAGAATTTAAATTTTTTTTTATATTTTTTGGTTAATTTAATAACGCGATTTTTTCGCGACTGGACAAAAAAAAAGAATATTTAATTATTTCATTATTTCGATTTTATTTTCCAAATCCCCCCGGTTTTTTTTATTAAATTAATTATTTTTTTTTCGTTCGCCCTTTAATTCCCCCCTAAACCCTTTTTTTTTTTTTAAATTTTATTTTTTAATTCCCCGGACTTTTTTTTTTAATTTTTTAATTTTTCCCCTCGGACTTTTTTTTTTAATTTAATTTTTTATATTTTATTTTTTAATTCCCCCTTTAATTTTTTAATCCCCCCTCGCGGACTTTTTTTTTTTAATTTAATTTTTTTTCGTTTTATTTTTTTTTAAATTTTCGTTTTATATTTTTTTTAATTTATTTTTTTTTAT